GACGCTTCGACTGAAAAAAACGCTGCAAACAGTAGCTTCCTTCATGACCTTGCATTTACTGGAGCAGGTTGTGGAAGAGCAGCATTTTTTGTGTCCCCTCTGTAAGGTTCATGGCAAAAAAGCACGGTAAAAACCACAATGGTTTGTTCTGAAAGATTTTGTTTCTACGGCGATGTAGACAACACCAAAATGCTTCAATGCATCTAAGGCACTAAAGGTCATCGCCGTTCTTTTGGCGAGGGTCATGGGTGAATTTATTGTAATGAGTTAATGCGAAGCCACGGACGCAATTTTTTGAGCTGTTACACTTCCCATGCATCACTGTTTCAATTCTTACTCCTGCAAGAATCTCTGTATTTTTGGTTGAGACTGAAAAATGTTTCTGAGTTTCCGAATTCCTGAACACGTAGGACGAAGATTGAAACCTATCTCCCTAAGGCGTGTTTGTACGGTATGCCATCAGTTTAGATGGTTCTTACAGGCTTCAGACTCTTACCATTATCTTCAGACCTGGTTTCAGAATTCAGCGCAGCGCGACTTGGGGAGATGACGTGGGAAGTATTATGATGTTGATGAAGTGTGGTTGTCTGAGCTTTATAAGAATCCAAAGGCATCACGTGGCTGAGGACAAGCAACTGCTCACCTCTCTCTCCCTGAGCCGAAGAGCGCCCAAAATTCTGTTTTTTCGCTAGATTGTGCACTCTGGCTTTACGAAGCTAAAGATGTAATTTTTCGGTAAGCGTGAAGTACTGGTTCGGGTCTGACTCTTCTGTACAACTTTCAGAGTGGTCACTGTCATTCTTCCTTGGGTCAAGAACCTCTGCGTGCGCTCGTCGCGCTCTATTTCCCGTGTCATCGCAACGTCATTGTATATCCAATGAGATCCGATCCTCTTGACCCCTATTCTTACTATATTTGTCAACACTTAATGTTTAGTGCGTACGTGACAACGTGTGAGAGGATTTTGGCTCATTCAGAGCCCAAAGGTCCATTCACACATGGGGTGCTCCAGCAAGGTTTGCGTCGCATCTGGGTGAGGAAGTATGGAGACTCTGGGTAAATCATTCCTAAACTGTTTTTGCCTACCCACTGGAAGCAAGGGAGCGAATACAATTATTATGGTACAGGAGATGAAGCTCCGCCATAGCCGGCATGCTCGGGAAGGTCTGTAGCATTGGACTTGGCCTGAACAAGCCTTTGATTTCCACAGATAAATCTTACGTACGCATACTCCTGGAAACTGTTAGTCCGGTAGTGAAACACGCTGAACGTTCTGCTTTCGAACAACCTCACTGAAGTTCTCTCTTTACTCTCCATGTGCAAAGCGTTGTCATGTTAGCTCGGTAATGTCCGCTTACGCGTACATGAGATAGCCAATCGCCGGTAAGCGCGAGGTGCGAGCTCGAGTTTCGTCTTGATTTTTACTGAATTCCCCTACCATATCACCATGTGCGACATAAACTTTAATGGTGCACCTTAAAACTGACGAATCTTTTTTACGCAGTTCCACGACGGGGGAAGGGGCATTTTGCACTTTCACTGCTTCACTAGTTCTGGTTTACAAGTCTCACTCTGGTGAAACCTGTGAACTCTTGTGAAGCTGGAGCAAGCTCGTCGAGCCACCATGGTAAAACCTGTCAACTCAAGAACGGGCTCTCTAGATGGGTCGGAACCTCATTGCAAAAGGCCCCCCGTTGCCGAACTACCTCTCTTTTTTAGCCCCTACAAGTACCATAAAATTTCGTGCAGACCGCAGACCTCTTTGTGAGACAACTATCTACCATCTCATGAATTTTTGTAGGAATGACCTCAGTTGCACAATCACTACTTCTACAGATCACAGTGCTGTTATCAGCGTTTGCTAAAGGAGCGAAATGTGAGTTCAGTCAGAATTATTGTGGCAGAATGGGTAAGAGTCAAATGGACCATACTCATTATGCTAAAGAGCTCACCTTTCTGAAGAACCAGTTTCGCTCTGGTTGAGTCGTAGCAAAACTGTATCAGTATATCAATATCAGTATCAGTACACTTTCTTTTCAGTGGAATGTTTTTCGTGCACGAGCAACGCTAACTGGGACTATTACATGGAGAGGATTCCTGGATTGAAGGTTCACTTTCTCACTTAGTTTGATTTCCTTCAGTTCTTAGCCACTATGGCTATTGACAATAAAAATAAAAAAAGCAATTTCAGCCTCTGAACTCATCCGCGGCTCTACCAGTAGCGCCTGTGGCATGCACATTCGATCCTATGCGGATTTACGCGGACAAGACAGCTGTCGCTTGTAGTGGTTATTGCATGAAGTGGGCATCTGTGAAGATTCTAGACGACGGTTGGTCCTCACAGCAAAAAGTGAAAAAAGATGTATAAAAATTGAAGTAAAGGTCAATTGTTGGGAATCCTCAACTTACAGGAGGCCTTGAAGTAAACTTCTTACGAGCCTGTGTTGACAATGTCATGGAATCAAATTCTACTGTACCAACCGAAGACAGGTTTATTATCTTGCATTTTATTATTGATTTTATTAGGGGGTCAGTCTGAGAGGTAGTATTTATCATGTCATCTGTCACTTAGTCACTGTAAACTGAAAGTTCCTGTTTGGCTCAGAGACAAGCTACACACTCGCCTCCTAGGACGACCTTTGCATGTGCGAGAAGGACGTGTTGGCAGATGTACAAGTGTGACACTTTGTCACTTTAGAGCGCACTGAATTGAGGGTGTGATATCTCAGTGCCACCTCGCTGACTGTCAGCCCATTTTATGGGCTAAAACGTGTTGGCAGTTGCGTCTGTAACATTGCGGCCAGCAAAGTACGCCAGTCAGCAGGCAGTTGGAAACACTTAACGTGGACGCAGGCAAGTAGCGCGTTTGACAATGGTTCGGCGTATAGCCTGCGAGCGTCAGCGCAGGTGAAGCCCAGGAGCGGCACCTGAAAACAACTGCCCTCCAACCTCGGGCAATTTTGAGCGGAGACAATAGCACGCTTATGTGGACGGGTACGGTCAACTATCGTGCCTTTCTCATGCGCTCATTGTTCCAGCCGTCTTGCAGGGGGAAGGGTGTACTAATGACCACAATGGCGAAAGCTTAACGACATGATGGTTCGATTGTGGAAGGGTAAAGGGCACAGGAGGCGCAAATCAAGAGGGAGACAGTCGTATTCTTCAAAACTCCTCCAAACGCCGAGACGTGCCCAGTTCCCACCGCGGCCGGGACTCCTAACCACCACCTTCCACTTCCTGGTCTGCGAACAACTTGGGAACAGTCCCTTTACTCGTGTCACTTTGCAGCCATGCACCCATTCACCTTGCGCATGGTAATAACCGGGATCTTCTAAGATTAGGGTGCAGCTTGTCTTCGAGATCTTCACAGGTTCCAAAGACTGAATGGTTGCTAACTTGCTCCTAGTTACTGATTTATTTGACCCTCCCATTCAACTTCCAAAGGCACATTTCGTGACTATAAGTCACGGATAGCGGATGAGAAAAGGTGTTTGCCAACTGATTCAGTCCTTAGGAAAATAATCATGAAAGTCGACAGCGCAACGAAAAGGCACTCTTAGTCTCTGCTAGGTCTAAGAGAGGGACAAAGTTGGGATTGGGAGAGATTAGAGAAAGGGGCGAGAGAGTACAAAAGGATCAAGGGGCAGGGATCAACAGCCACCTGCGTCAGGTGGAGAGCCTTAAAGGCATATGGCACGATAATTCGGTACTGCTATGCAAATGCTAGCAGGGTGCTATATAGTGGGGAAAATGGCGAAAAAACGGAGTGAAACGGTCAAAATCCTGCGAAGAAAAAGCCTTCCTTCTTCATGACTCAGGAAGTAATTTTGGACGAGTTTCCGTTAAACATCATGCACATAACCGCTACGGTAGGTATGACTGCACATTTTCACTCATGTATCCATGTAGCACCGCGGCCGCTTCATATCAACCCTTTGCTTCATATTTTACTTCGCAAATGAAGCAAAACAAGCATCAGGTACAGTCTTTGTGAGGGGGCGGGCCAGGTGGGCGTTCGGGTCGGTATGTTGCAGGCTTGATAGGCCTTACAAGGCGCGTATCTTTTCTGAAAAGGGCGCCGCGCAGCATCTGCTCGGGGGCGCGGAATCCTGCTAGACGTATTAATCGTACCCGCGCGAGTCAGACCTTGCGCTTCTACACGCACTTTTCAGATGCTACCAAACTCCAGCCTGATTTCATCTCACAAAGTCGGAGTCGAATACAGGAGCGTCTGCTACTGCCAAGGATTCATGTGTAACTCTACGACGATTCCACTTTTGTCTTTATCTTTGTACCTTTTGATTCAGCTCAGTGTTCTCTTATGAGCCAGTAATAGCCAGTTAGCTTGATCTTTTTTGATCTCTCTCACGAAAACGTCATGGGCAATACTCAAGGTAAAGTAAGCCCCATTTTCAGCCACCATCCATAGTCATGAAGCAGCAAGTCTCATTGATGATCTTTCTGCCTTCGCACCTCATCCTACCTCAGTGATAGCGCGAGAATGGGCTCTATGCCCGTGTTGCATGCGCATATCTGAATCGTGTGGAAGGGGAGTGCCACGTGAGCCAACGTATCTTGCCGTAAGAGCGAAGGCTCCAAACAGTTGCTCTAGTCACTTTTGAATAGATTGAGAGGTGCACAGAAAGCTTTTTGTGGGTTCTTTTATGCTTGTGCTCCACTTTTCGTAACTAGCAACTGTCGTCCGCTATGTTCACCGACAGTTCTGTGGACACTCCTCTCCAAAGCCACGATATGGGCTAAGCAGCTGTCGCCAGTCATCGCCCTATTCATACATTTGAAATTCCTGAGATGGGGTAGGCATGGCTGTGTACTTCAATTAAACGTTGAGGTGGCTGTGCTTCAGTGTCTATTTTGACACAATTGGGGCATGTCTCAGTACAACACTGAAAAAAGTGACAGTTGTCTCAAACTGAAATATCCTACAAGTAATCCATTCTATGCCACATTCAACTGCCACGCTTACTCCGTCTCAGGAATAAGGAGTGTATGTATTGCGAAGGCCGAACAAGCCATCGAAGTGTGACACAACACCTTTGAAACTTGATACTGGTAACAATAATAATAAAGATCCTCCGCAATGAAAGTCTATTCCTTGTTATCCGCTTTGATGGTCGTTTCAATTCCCATGGGTGTAGATAACATCACATTCAGGTAGATGCTCAATTACAGGGAAACAAGTAACCCAAGTCAGTTGTTTTTTCAGAGACCACATAGAAATTGAAAGCATATCCAAGAGACCGGGGACTTTTTCCTTCGTGCTCCTCCCAGCATTCCAGTTACTGCGATTTTCTTGCGGCATTTTCGACCCTTTATTGAACCAGTCAGTTCATAGTTCATTATCGTTGCAGCACTGCAGCCGCCTTCACTGATAATGCTGTACCTATCCGACAGCT